GGGGGGGGTATAAATGTCCCAGGGGTTTTATACCGGGGGGTACTAATGCCCCGGGGGTTTTACACCGGGGGGTATAGGGGTATAAATCCCCTCCTACACCGGTCCCTTCCGCGGAGCGCGCTGCTCTGCGCTCCTCAAACAGAGAACATTACCGCAAGGTGGCACTACACCTAGCGGCCCTAACTACACCCACTCCATCTCATTACCCTTAAAGATGTTTCTTTGTAATAAATAAATGAAAATATTGTATGATCAAATCTTTTCATAATAACCTTGCAATCTGCCAAGTGGCTGGGTATTGGGCTGCCCAACAATGTCAGATTTGAAGTGTCTGAATCACACACTAATGCATAAATTCACCAAAGTTATGGAGAAAGTTCTAGGCTTATAAGTACTGTTTCTATCTCACACAACAAACAGTGAAGAACCAAGGAAAGGGCACTTCCCTTTGAGTAAAATTTTACAAAAAGTTCATAAAAAAATATATGCATGAGTTTAAACTTGAATTAATTATTTATTCAATGTCTAACAATGTCTTAACTTTACAAGAAATGACAGAGGCACTCATAAGAGAGGCAGATTGGTCTTATATGATAATGATAAGAAATGGTGTAAAATTAAGTAAAGATTCTTGCGTTATCTGAGAATGGACACAAATTATACAGACCACAAGCCAAGTCATACTTGTAATTAAAAGGGCAAGAGTAGCCAAGATAATATTGCTCAATACAATATGAATACATTCGCCTTCTCTACAGACATGAGTGAAACTACTTGCTAAGAATGATTCTAATACATGCAGGAACAAGGTGTTCAATTGCTTACGCAGAAATTCAGAACACAAATTAAACTACTCTTAAACATATGATAGGAGGGCACCTTACAGACATCCAAATTTTCTGTTGAATTCTTCTGGTTGATTTCTTCTTCTGTCACACATTCTTTAGATGTTCCTCCTAATTTTCTTCTTGCCGTTAAGGCCTCTGTTGAGTGCCTTAACAATTGTGTAGGATGCATCTTTCAGAAAAGATGCAACGGAAATGTGTTTGTCCTTTAATTCTTGAGTGAGAACTCTTATGGTCTCATCATTTGCCACAGCAGATACCGACCTTCGCCTGACGGCTTTCTTCTTCTTCCTCAGGACATGCAGATCCTGCTGGGTGGTGTCTTCCATCTCTCGAACTCCATCTATAAGGCACAAGAGAGGACATAACTGAAACGATGTAGGGATGATCTCGCACGACATTGCTCCTCTTAACACGACGTATTGACGCCGGGAGGCCCTCTGACCACAAGACCACAATGTGGTCAAACCCGCAGGAGGGACCGGCGGTACATGACCACAATGTGGTCAAACCGGCAGGAGGGACCGGCGGTACATTACCAATGTGGCCATGCCGGAAGGAGGGGACCGGCAACTCATGACCACACTGTGGTCGGGCCGGCAGGAGCGAACATTATTAACAAATTTGTTCACACCGACGTATTAAAAAATGCGTAAGCAGAGCACGTACACAGAACTCAGTAAGCTATGAATACAAATGTCCATAAGCTCTTAGTGTGCACGTCGTCAGACATTTGGCCACGACCAACAAACACGCCGCGCACTTAGTTATACTGTACCGCATGCACGCGTGTTGGGCGGGCTGCCTACTCGCACGGGGGCCGTAAGGAGCCCGTGGGCAGCGACGATTGGAAAACCCGCATTAAATGCGCTTCAATGGGCGTTATGAATAAATGCCTGTAAAAGGTGGCGCATTAAAAGTGCGCCATGCGCATTAAATGCTGTAGTGCGCTTTAAAAACGTCACCAATGTATCACATTGTATTTGTATTTGTCCGCCCCGAATGTGCATTAAAATGCGCCTAAAGGGTAACACATTTGTTCCGTATTTTATGCGCATTACTGCATTAAATACGCATTAACACGTAATGCGCATAAAATGAACGAATGTGTTACCTTTTATGCGCATTATTACGCGCATTGCCGCAGCTAATGCGCATTTAAGCAGATCTAAGTGCATTGGCGGTACCGCGGCGAGCCAAACACATTTAATGCCTTTCAATATGCACATATACAAAACATTAAATGTTTAATGTGTCTTCCCAGCCAGAAATGCTTACTAAGAAGACGTTCTAGAGTTGGCTATAGCCGCCAAATGCACTTAGATGCACGTAATGCGCACTAAATGCGCATTCAATATGCTTTGATGCGCTTAAGAGCGTTTCCAATGTGTCGACTTTTATGTGCATTTCTACGCGCATTGAAGTGCGTTCTGTATTGAGGTGCTTATCTTCTAGGGATGTCTACTTTCAGGACATAATAGACCACTACATATGAAACATTTCTGACGGGGAAATGGCGCACTTCGGGATTTGCGATTGATTGAAATAAAAATAATAATTCCCTATCAATCTTCTTAGTAAAACCATTATTTACCAATAAAATTCCAGACATTTGGACGCTTTTCCCGAACAGCGTCTTGAAGCATCCTGTTGTCACACTCGCAGCAATTTGTGGTTCGATCTTCACAACCGGACACAGATAGAATGTGTAGCTTTGGACGCCAAGTGTGCAACCAGTAGGATGCAAGGCCAGTTATCACCCCAGGCACATTCTTCTTCAAGGCAAGCCTCAATATGGAGCGGAACCCCTTCATGATGAAATTCTGAGGGAGAAGTGGAAGGACGCAGAAGGACCGCACCAAACGGCGAACGATGGAGAATCGCCTGATTGCTCTTGCCATTCCCAGCTTTCGAGCTTTTCCTCCGACAGCCTAAGGGCACACCCCCAAAAACATCAAAAACCGCAAAGGCCGAGCCCGGGCACCGCCGTTCGGTAATGCGCATTATTGAAATGCGCCAGCAAAGTAACACATTTTAGGTACATTTAATGTGCGTAATGCGCGCTTAATGCGGGTAATGCACATTAAACGCGTAAGAAATGTGTTACCTTTTTTGCGCATTTTAATGTGCATTGCCTGCATTTAATGCGCATTTAAGTGCATTGGCGTTACTAGGGAGGGTACCCCAGTAGCGCCAATGCGCATTAATGGCGCATTCAATGGGTAATGCGCATTAAAATGCGCATAGAAGGTCACACACTCCTGCGCCGCATTAAATGCGCACTTAATGCGCGTAATACGCAATAAATGTGCTTTCAAAGCGTCACCATTGTGAGTAAAGAAATAATTGTATTAGTCTCGAACTCGATTTGAAAATAACTACCTTGACATAATGAAACAGGCAGCCGTGCACTGTTGCATTAGGGAATGCCAACGCAAGAGCAGCCTGCTCGCCAGGTTCGAAGTCAGCGAATACTTCACGCGGTTTGAAGCCAGGCGCGAGTTCTTTCAACTTCTCCAGGACAGCCGTGTATGTTGCCTTGGTGCGCTTCCGCATCAGTACGCGCACCAGGGGAACGACCTAGTGCAGAGTGAATATTACAGGAATTAAAATTACAGAGATTGGTCATGAAACGTGATGAGGTGCTATGGTGTTTGCGTATCGCCTCGGGAAAGAACATAATTTGTGCACACTTTATGGAGAGGGACGATTATTTTGTAGGTAGGTAGATACAAAATTTAGCGTCGTTACAGAAAAAATAAAGCATTTTTAAAGCTTTGTAGCAAGCCCAGGGACACCTTATTGTATACCCTCACAGACAAATTTGTACCTGGTGAGGATGTGCACTAAAATTGTCCCTCCCCAAGTTGTGGAGACATGTCTTCATCGTTTTTGCAAATACGTACATGATGTAACCTGACAGTGCTGATGGTCCACACCTGGCTGGCCTTCATCCCTCGTGGGACTGGACTGAAAGTGGCGTCACAAAATATCCTCCGCACCCTCTTCCCCATATACCGCAGCATTCTCTTTGTCACAAATAAGAGGGACAGTGTCTTCCTGGACGCGCTGCCAGCCCGCCCGGCGAATAGCTGGTCCTCTCCATCCATAGTTTTTGACAACAGTCTGAACCTCCTCATCGTGAGGACCTTGTTCAGCTGCTTAAGAGTGTGTGGGATTCTCGGGCGGTTCTCCAGACGTGCTCTCCTCATAGAAGATCTCAGGCTTACAAGTGGTATGCTAGCCGCAGCTTGCCGAGGAATTCTATAATATAATGCGGAAAAGCATAATTACTTGATTTTTTATGTGAATATCACCAGAAGTCCTTATAATACTATCATCCAGAAAATTGCTATTTAAAACAACGAAATTTTTACCCTGAATGAGAACTCCTGCCAAGAAGCGCATATCTGTTTAAGTCCCTACTTGGGAGGACTATACAAGATGGCTGATTAACCCCGCTCACTGCTGTACTATGCTGCACGAGTGCGGGCGGGCTTGCCTATCGCCCCTGTCCACGGCGCCTTACGAGCCGAGCGAGTAGGCAACCCGCCCGCACACGTGCATGCGGCACAGCATAGTACAAAAGTGAGCGGGGTTAATCAGCCACCTGGTATTTTGAATTTTAAGGTCAAAGTGACACCCCACTTTGACGTCGTTTTAACGTCATTAAAAAATTGGGCGTTCTCATTGCGGAGGGGGAGGGGGGGGGGTGGCCTTCATTGATAATACGGCAAACTTTTAGACC